AAAAGAGTACACGAAGTTGTTAGAAAAAAGTGATGGGGAGATATGGGAGGTGTTGGAGGGGAGGGAGTGGGCATGATTTTGCTACCACTCCATCAATGTCATATGCTGTGCTGGTCACTGATGGGATTATTAGGCCTTGAAGCTGGTGTTGGAGTATGGATTGATGTTCTCCTTTAGCACCTTGCATAGTGCTTTCCAAAACTATGAGAGCTAGCCTTCAGGGAAGTGGCTTCCAGGTCAGTTCCAACTCCAAGTCCTGAGTCCGCAATATATTCTATCTTCAACAATAAAATCTCCAATTCAAGGGCTGTGACAATAGCTTGTGTAATTTTGAGAGACTCTTGGACCACCCTGACCAACTACTCAATGGAAGGTTTCTCCTGTCTGGTACTGTTTCTTGTTTTGTAGCCTTTAGCTATACCCACGGACTCATGGAGAGATATTGTTATGTGTAGTTTGTCATTAGGTTGTTGGAGTACTATGATTCTCTCTGTTTTTTTACACTAGCTAGGCATTATTTATCTCTCTTCTCTTTCTCCCTGTCTAAACCTGCCATCATGGCTTCCCCATTTAAAGCATCCCATTTTCCACTGGTCACATACAGACATTGTCTGTGAATTACCGAAGTCTAAGTGGCAGATTACAATGCAACCTCTGCACACCTAAAGGTTATGGAATATAGAGTAAAGGGTAAAGAGAACAGTAGTGAATATCTCAGTTCTCATTAATGAAGATCCCGCATGTAACAGAGGGCCAGGAAAACAAAAGGTCACAAATGGTCAGAGCGTAGAGATTAAGAGTCTGCAGAATGCTGGTCCTTGGACAGGACTCCTATATTAAACTTCACTCACCTAGGTCTCAGGTACCATTATGGAAGAAGGTACAGAAAGATTTTAAGAGCCAGGGAGGAGATGCATGATCATAGGGAAATAGAGTCCTACAGCTCCTGGGACCCTGCTCATATAAACCTATGGCAAAGGTGTCAGCATGCACCTTTGCAAACTCACCTGGAAAAAAACCCAGCATAGAACTGGGGAAATGAAGAGCTGAACCCAGTCTTAGCTGGAGAAATATTGACAACTGATTACTGCTGGGTGAGGAAGAACTGATCTTTCTAAAGCAAGGGACTCTAGATAGACTGACTAGACCTCAGTAAATGAAATTGTACTGAGGGATGTCTGGGGACACTAACTTGACACAATAATCTTTAACACAAATGACAGAATGTATGGGGTGGGTCTATGGGAGGCTGCCAGTTGGGAAGGGGGTGCAAAGATGATCAAGATTAATTGAGATGTTCTGTGTGAAATACACAATAATTCAATAAAAAAAGAGAAACCTGTGAGTCTCAACAGTATTTGCCTAATGGACACCTCCACTTTGTGTCTATCTTTTTGAAACCTATTTCTAGCCGTTCAGTATTTTTATTTTGGAGGTATACATCTTTTGATTCTTAGGGGCTTTTTTTTTCCTCAAAGAATATTTTGGGGCTGGGAGATTGGTTAGTCAGTAAAATAGGTGCCATGCATGCCTGAGTACCTGAGTTTGGATCCCTAGCACCTGTGACCCATGTCTGTAACCCCAGTGCTGGGTGGTGCAGGAAGACAGATTTCTGGAACTCTCTGGCCAGCCAGACTAGGTGAATCAGTGGGTTCTAACCTTTATGAGAGAGTCTGTCTCAAAAGAAAATGTAAAGAACAATTGAGAAAGACAGCTGATACCAACTTCTGGTCTCCATATGTGCATGTGTGTCTACATACACATGTACACACACATGAGAAATTACATATACAAACCACAGACACAGACACACAAGGATAATTGTTTAGTCTTGCTTGCCTTAAATAGTTTAAATTCATTGCCTAGTTTTTGTTATATATCTTTACAACTGAAATTTCTGATTTTTTTATTTTTTAAAGACTTATTTTATTGTGTATGTACATATCTGTGTGCGTGCCTGTGGAGTCTAGAAGAGGGCATCATATCTTTTGTAGCTGGAATTCAGGGCAGTTCTGAACTATTCTTTATGGGTGCTGGGAACCAAAGTCCTCTGCAAGAGCTGTAAGGATTCTTAATTGCTGAGCCATCTCTTCACCTCCTAATTTTTCTTTTATTTTGTCTTTTGTGTTATCCTTTGAAAATCTAATTCCTGTAATTTTTACTAATTTGATGTTTTTCTTTTTTTTCATTAAAACTTCAAGCTGATTTGAAAGTGATTTTGAGGTAATAATTGTGGTTTTCATCAACATTCATTTTGCCCCTAAATGAACTTTAACCCTAGTAATGCTGAGAAAGCATCCTTTTTGTCCCCTCAGTGATACTTGTGTCAGAAGCAGTTTTTTTTTTCCTCAAACTGTTATTGAACTTCGCAGAGTTCTTTAAAGGAGTTAGTAAATCCTTTTCTTTTCTCCCCAGGGATACTATTTTTATTTCAAATGATGAAAATATCAGATAAATAGCCTTTGAAACTTGGAGTTGTGTTTGACCTGATTCTTTTTGGCAGGTGTTTCTCAGATGATTTGTGAAACCTCCTTCTGTATTCCTCTTCACTGCTTTCCTTTCTCTCCCACAAGGATGCACTTCAATTTTGAAAACTTCCCATATGTATATAGTGTAGTACTGAACTAATTCTGGCCTATGAGCCCAGAGGTGTCTCTGTTTACCCTGGTATCTAGTACAGAAAATAGCTTATGCATTCATTTGAAGTATTTTTTATTGACTAACTTTTTGTTGAGAAAGTAATAAACATCCAAAAAATACAAAAGGACATGAATTGATAGTTCCCCCTCTTCTGGTTTCCCTAACTTTATACTTCAGCTATTTTAAAAATTAGTTTCTTGTGTGTGTCTCCAAAATAATTCATGAAATGTTACCCTCTTTTTTTCTCTTTTAAATCAAAATAAAATTATTATTTTTATTTTATGTGTATGATTATATTGCCTGCATCTGTGTAAGTGCACTCGTGTTGTGTAGTGCCCATGGAAGTCAAAAGAGGGCTTCAAATCTCCTGGAACTGGAGTTAGGATGGTTCTTAGCAGCCAGGTGGGTGCTGGGAATCAAACCTGGGTTCTCTGCCAGAGCAGCCAATGCTCTGAGACATCTTTCTAGCTCTGTTTCCTTCTTTCTTAAATAAGTCTTTACTGTGGATACATTTCTGTATTGCTTTTCATCTTATGTTCTGTATTGAATATTTTTCTACCTTTGCATATTCAGATGTTTCATTATTTTTTCCATAGTTATAGAGTGTTCATTTATTTTTTTTATAGAATTTAATTAGCTTCCTAGTTTTCTAAAATTAAAAAAAAGAATCAACCTGGTTATAGGCATGTATGAGACTTTGTATAAGATAAATTTCCATTTTGGAATTCCTTGGTTTTGGCTAGAATCACAAAGAGTTATAGTCCTTACACTTGAGTCAATAGAATGTGTGAGTGCCTACTGAGTTAAATCTCATAGTTGTACAGGATCACACTAGGTCTGTACTTAGTCATACCCATGCCATACCGAGGCCCAGATTCTTTAATCTGGTGATACCTGATGTCAGCCCTTGGTGTTAAGCCCTTGGTGGCTAAATGTTCTTATTAGGTACCTTTCAAAGATTTATTCCTTAAAGAAAACTTATTAATGTGCGTTTTTCCTGAATTAAAAAAGAAAAAAGGTTAAAATATGGCCCAGTACCAGACATAAGATGGGAGGATCATATGAGCCTAGGAGTTGTAGAGCATCAGATGCAACATAGGCAGGCACAGTCTCAAAAGAAACAAAAAAGACTGTATAGGTACCACACATTCTTATAGTAGCACATCGTTTTCTTTTGTAATTTATCTCAGTACTTTATTACCAACTGATTCTTCTCTTCTGTCAGAATAAAATGTTTTGTGTGCCATTTCTTAATGGATACCAAATTGAGACCAATTCAAGACATTCCGCTTTCCCTAAAAGGGAAATGAGAAATGATCTGAATTCTGTCTCTAAAACAGTCTTTTCTGATAAAATCATTGCCTCTGTACTCATCAGTAAAAATGTCACTAGAGTGAAGCTGCCACTGCTGTTGGACCTGGTACAGTTGCGAACTATTGGTGCCACTGCTGTCAAATCACCTCACCTCTCTGAGCTTCAGTTTTGGCTGCTTACTTAAAAAGCAAAAGTTGACATTTGCTTCTCTCATGGGCTTTCTGTGAGGATTAAGATAGCAAAGTGTTTAGCAGACTATCTGGAAGCGGTAGATGCTTGATAAATGTGTGCTGGAGCTCCTCTTGTCCAACAGAAAGGTAGCTAGGATAAATACACGTTGCTGCTTTTTAAAAAGTAGTCTGATTTCTTGTAGGTGCTGTTTACAGCTGATAACAGATAGGCCTGCTGCCATTCAGGAAGAGCTGGACCTTATCCAGGCCCTTGGTTATCTTGAAGAATTTGGGGTGAAGATCTTGCCTTTGCAAGGTGAGTCCTCTGCTTAGTATCACATTATTGTTAACTTATTTTGTGCAAATTAGTGTTACTTTTTCCTTTTATTAGAGCTGAAGAGTAACTTTGCTTATTTAAGTTCATTAACAATAGATTCTATTCCCTTTTCTAGGATTTTGCTATGGAATTTTAAATGAAAATATTTTGCCATGAAATTACTGAACTTGCTATATTTAACACACTGGCCTCCATCTCACAGAGAGAGATCTGTCTTCCTCTGCCTACCCAGTGCTAGGATTAAAGACATGTACCACCATTTCTAGAAAAATTACTTCTTTTTCATTGATAGTAAAACCTTTAAAGAAGTAACATTAGTAACAGAGCAATAAAGCTATTAGATAAAATAATAGCAATAAAGCTATTGGATAAAAATAAAAAGGAGCTACCAGGAACTTTATGGATGAGAGTTTCAGATTTATATCTGTTTTGGCATAAAACTTACATCTGTATTTTCCTTAATTTTATAGATTATTAACTAGGTATTAATAATAGGTTTTTGGGCCCCAATTTATGCTTCACGTAGAAGTAGTGATAGTAAGTTCTCATTTAGAATTTAATTCCCAATGATGTTTTCATATTGCTGAGTCCTTTTGCCTTAATGTAAAGACATGTTGGTACCATCCAAACAGGCCTCTGGTCACACAGTTGTTTCTCAAATACTTTCTGCTGTGTATTACAGCATTCTAGACCTTATCTGACCTTATCTGACTAGTGGGGTGTCAATTTTCAGTTCTCTCAAACCTAAGACTCCAGTTCTCTGAAGGAAGAGGATGGTTGTCTTATTATCATTATGCTGGACTTTCATCTGTCTTCTGTTATTGCCATCCTTATCTCTAGAAATGGTTGGAACTTGAGATGGAAGAAATATAATTGAGTTCCTTTTCTCTCTCTTTCTCTCTCTCTCTCCCTCACTCTCTCTTACTGTCTCTGTCCCTCTGTCTCTGTCTCTCTCTTCTCTGTCTCTCTCTCTGTCTCTCTCTCTCCCCGCCTGTGTGTAAGTGTATTAGCTACTTTTCTGTTGCTGTGATAAAACACCATGACCAAGGTCATTTATACAACAAAGGGTTTATTTGGACATACTGTTCCAGAGGAATGAGAGTCCATCATGGTGGGGAGGCATGGCAGTAGAGATGCCCAGAGCAGAAAACCGAAAGCTCACATTCACAGGAAGCAGAGAGAACAACTGGAAGTAGGGCAAGCTATGGACTTTTGTTTTTTGAGACAGGGTTTCCCTGTAGCTCCAGCTGGCCTGGAACTCACTGTGTAGACCAGGCTGGACTTGAACTCATAGAGATCCACCTGCCTCTGCCTCCCAAATGCTGGGATTAAAGGCATATGCCACCGTGCCCAGCTAAGCTGTGAACTCTTAAAGCCTGTTTCCACTTCCTCCAAGTAGGCCACACCTCCTATAGTTCCATGACCCTCCCTAAACAGTGCTGCCAGTTGACCAAGTTTTCAAATACTTCAGACCTTCAGACTGTGGGGGGCACTTCTAATTTAAACCACCGCATATTACTCTCTGGCCCCCATAGGATTGTGGATGCATCATAATACACAGTACATTTAGTCCAGCTTGAAAAGTTTCCATAGTCTTTAATACTCTCAACAATGTTTAAAAGTTCAAAATTTCTGCTGAGATTTAAGGCACTCTTTTAATTGTAACCCCTGTAAAATCAAAATGCAAATTATATACTTCCAACATAGAAGAGTGAGGAGGAATATAGTGAGGAAATACAAGACTGAAACAAGATGAAAAACCTGTTACTCCATGTCCAATACCTGGGACTTTAGTTTCAAAAGGCTTACTTAGATGGCTCTGTTCCTACAGCTTTACTGCCTACAACATACTCCTGGGCTGGTTCCACTCCCTCTATGCAGCTCTCCCTGGCAGATGTCTCAGGACTCTGGCGTCTGCAGCATCTTGGGGTTTCTATAGCAACCCAGGCTTTACCTTCACAGTTTCATACAATGACTTCTCAGGGCCTTCTTTATATGGGGACTCCTCTATAACATGCTCCCTGCCCACAGTGACTCTGAAACCACAGAGGAATAATCAACAACTTCCTCACTCTTGCATCTTTTATACCTCTGAAGCCAGTACCACACAGAGGATACTACCAACTTCAGCTGCCAGCTTAGGATGGACCTTGCCCCCCTTGTGTCACACTTGTAGCTGCTTTTGTATATTGTGGTTTTCTAGGAGCAGTAAATCCCTTAGGTTTTTCTCCTTCTACTAGTTAGAGGCTTAGCTGGATGGGGTCTTGCGCTCAAGGGCACTCTTTCCATTGTTACAATGAAGTGCAGGAGACCTCTCCATAATGTCATTAATCTCCTTATCAATTATAGCCTGTCTTCCAGGATATACCTTGGCTGCAACATTAAGTGCATTCCCAGTGTTCTCTTTCTCTCTAAACTACTTTTTGTATTTCTTTATGCCCCACTTGCTCTTTTTTATTATACACTTGCCTAAAATTCTAAGGTAATAATCCAAGCTATAGATTAAACATTAGGCTGTCTTGAAATTTCTTCTGCCAAAGGCATTAGTTCATTATTTTTTAATTTAACCCAAGGCACGTTCTTAGTGCTCTGACAGAAGGCAGCTAGATGTTTTTATCAAAATAACACAGGAGTGACCTCTAGCCCAGTTGCTGGTTAAGTTCTTGCTTTTCTCTGGAACTCTGTTGCTCTCAGCACTATTTTTTTCCAGACTCCTGTTAGAATAGCTTGTTCTCTGCTCATAGTATTCAACTGCTTTTTCTAGTCCAAACTTCCAAAGTTTTCAACATTTCTTCAGAAAACAAGGTGGTCAGGTTCTTCTCCAGAATACCCACTCGTGGTATCACTTCTGCAGTAGTTACTTTTTTTGTTGCTGTGGTAAAATACCATGTCCAAGGCAACTTATAGAATGGTGGGTTTCTTTGGGGTTATAGTTCCAAAGGGATAAGAGTTCATTATAGTGGCGAGACATGGCAGAACAGGTAGGTGCCCAGAGCAGAAAGTTGAGAGGTAAACAGGAAGCAGGCATCTGGACATGGATCAAGGCTGTGAACTCAGTCCCAAGTGACATACTTCCTCTAGCAAAGCCACGCTTCTCAAAGGTTTGCTGATTGTTCCCAAAACAGTGCCACCAACTGACCAAGTGTTCAAATATTTGAGCCTATGCAGGACACTTCTCTTTCAAACTAGCATAGTAAGTTTCCTCAACAGTTGATTCTGACTTTTTAAAAACAAACAAACAAAAAATCATACAACAACCAAAGCCACTGAAACCTCCTAGTACCTTCAGATAATGATGATCTAGTTCCTTGTGTCTTTGTCCACTGTAGTTTTAGATGGAATAGGAGTCAGTGGAGACATCTCAGAGTTTTCTATGTGTTTCCATTGTGGCATTTTGGTTTTGCTCAAAATTAAAGTTCTGCATTTCAGAAAAATTACTGTACTTGAAAGAGGTAGGTTACCCTGAATGTTATTGATTAGAAATCATTATTATGCATTTGTAAATATCCTATAGCACCTTCAGCATGTAAGATAATTATTAAATAATAAGCAATTTATTCAGTTGTACCATTAATCTAACTTTTGAACTCAAAGCTTCTTAATAATATTGTGAAAATTAATCAAAGTTACTAAAAGCATATTAACTAGTTCCCCCAAACAATTTTTACAATTTTCAGCTAAGGAAGAGTCTGGAAAATAGTCATTTCCTTTATTTTTATTAGGATAAATACTTCGCAACTTTGATATGTGTGTTTTGTTTGTGTTTCTGTATGTGTGTGTGCTTGTGTGTACTTTAGCTACCTAAATAATTTGAGCTGATCTAGAATACAAAATGTGTCTTGTGGTCTCTCATGCTATGGAATTTTAGAATATTAAACTGAATTTTGATTACCTATGGTTAACGGTTAGCAATATATTTGCTAGCAATATTTGTCTATAACTGCTTAGTTTTAATATCAATAATCAAACCTCTAGCTTCTTGTTCCTTCTGGGAAGCTTTCTGAGTGAAGGGTGGATCTTCATTGTCGTACTGTCTGGATGGCTTTCCAGCATATTGTGTTGATTGGCACTTACCTGTGAGAATGACTGGCAGAAAGCTTCTGGATGCAGAGAAGGAACATGACCCTCCTGTCCTGTTAGCTGTCTTCATCCTACAGCTTGGGTGCCTCACTATTAATACTGCATAGTGTTATTTGATATTTAGAAGCGTATGCTCCAGATATTAAAGCCAGTGTCCATAGTTATCTCATTGCTTTGTTTTGAAGACTTTTCCTATACTCCATGTGTTGCTGTGTCTTTCCAGATGGAGACTAGTGTACTAATTAAATTATGATTAAGTTGTTGGAAAGCAAGAAGATCAGTAAGATGCAAAAGTTATTCCCTTATATATGAATCTTCTGTGGTATTTGTGTGTCTGTATATATCTGAATGCTTTTTGTTTGAGACCTCTATCCTTACCTGTGTTTTATAATTATTTTATAATAATAATGTGTTTTAAAAATTGAGCTATACTTGTAAAAATGTACAGGGTGAAGAGGTATCTTCAGTTATTAAAAGATATATACATGCATATTTTCAGGTCTGTTAACTCTACTGTGTATTGAAATTTTTGAGTCTAGCATCTCATCTATGGGGAAGCAAAAGTCTAAATGTATTTAACTGAAAAGTCATGTTTTGAAATATAATTAATCATTTCCTAAGATCATCAATAAAAGAAAACTAGTGTATTGATTGAATAGCATTTCAGAAAGTAGACTCCTATTCTCTTAATTTTTTCAACATATCTAACTATTATCATTGTGCATTAACGTATCAAGGAGAAAAAGAACCAAACAAGTGTTCCATCAAATGGAAGTTTGGAGGAAATACTGATCTATTGCTTTTCCACTTTGATTCTGAGCTCGAAAGAGGGTGGTAATAGTAAGGAAGTCAGCCTATGAGAGTCGCTAAACCTGGAGCTCCTATTAGAATATAGTGACTCCTTAACAAACCTGTAGAAGGTCATCTTTGATGTGCATAGAAGGATAATGTCTATGGCAAGTCTTTTTTAAAAAATCAAATTAGGAACATGAATAAGTACCTGCTTCCTAGTCATTAGATTAATGAATCTTGGGAGAAAACAATTAACTAGCACATATTGAGGGAAGAGTCCACATTTTTATTTATTATTTATTTTTAATATTTTATTTATGTGTGTGAGTATATTGCCTGCATGTATGTAAGTGCACCCACATTGTGCAATACCCATGGAGATCAGAAGAAGGCGTCACATCCCCTGGAACTGGAGTTACAGATGGTTGTTAGCTGCCTTGTGAGTGCTGGGAACAAAAACCAGGTTCTATGTGAGAGCAACCAGTGCTTTTAATCACTGAGCCACCTCTCCTTTCCTGAGCCCACAATTAAAAAAAAAATTAATTTTATGTTTAGGAATGTTTTACCTATGTTGTAAGTATGTGTGTCACATGCATGTCTGGTGCCCGTGGAGGCCAGAAGAGCTGTTGGATATCCTGAAGTTCTAGTTACAGGCAGTTGTGAGCTGCCATATGAGTGTTGGGAACTGAGCTGGGATCCTGTGCAAGAGCAGCAAGTGCTGTTACCAAATGAGCAGTCTCTCCAGCCCTAAGCCCACATTTTTTTTTTTAAGTCAAGAAGAGTTTGAAATTTTTGGCTACACTGTGCTATAATGGAAGATGGAAAGTCTCAATGGGACAGTTCACAGGCTTGCTTTCTGCTTATGGAACTTCTACTGTGGTCACCCTCTAATCTATGCCATGAGACATGCCATTCCTACGAGAGGAAAATATTAGTGGAATCCTGTAAGGTGGCTTTTGCTCTCACATGGCACATTGTTTCCACTGCCACTCATTGCCCTTAGAAATCATAGGGCCAAGCCTAATGTTAGTGAGGTGGGCATTTGGGATGTAAAATGATTGGCACAGATAATTGGAAGCATTAGTGGAATTTGTAGAAGTTATACTCAGATGTAGAATTGACTGTAGTGATTGTGGATGAACCTAACCCATATCAACATTTGTCTTATATTGTATATAAGTACCTTAACAGGATGATTATATCAACAGATATATAACTAACGATCTGCTTTAAAATACCTAAACTTCAGAAAGTATACGCTAAAACATTGAGGTGTAAAGGGACATGTTTATAATTTTTTATAAAATAATTCAAAAAAGTATGTGTGTGTCTGTGTGTGTGTGCATGCATGTGCACACACCTATAGAGATGGAAAAGTGGGAGGCTTTACATGTATGATTGCATATACATGTATATGAAGAAATTATTAATAATTGACTAATTATAATAATAATGTAAAAATAAAAATTACATTCCAAAGAAAAATCACCATGTCTTCATCGTCCTAGGACTTGTATTCCCTCTTAACCAACAACCTAGAAGAAATTTTAACAGCTCAGAATATATAAGGATTTGCTGTGGATTTAGGAATGAATAAAGATGAAAACCACAGACAAAATTTATGGACTTCAGTTGAATTTAGGAGTTTTCTGAACTCAGTTCCTTCCCTTGAGGATAAGTCCCTGCACTGTTTGGTTACTATTCATAATATAAAGCAGTGCCTGAGACTTAGTTGATTTGCATTTTATGTTAAGGGCTGTTAACAGTTGTCATAGTTGTTACCAGCCAGTTTCCAAAGGCAGTGCCTTGCTTCCTGACAGCTCTAATCTAAAGAAGCACCACTTACTCCTAGAACATACTTGATGCCCTTTGACTTTTTTCCTTTAAGTGTTCTTTTCTTTATGATATAAATTGTTTGATCAGATGTGTTTTATTTTCCTAAGTGCTAGTGTAAGTTAGGGGATTGGGCTTACCCTTGAGATTAGAACAGTGTGCTCTTAGAGGACTCCTTCCTGCCATTCAACCCAGGATGATGTGAAGTTAGAAAGTGGATAGTTGAAGCCAAGTACAGTGGTACATGCCTGTAAACGCAGCAGTCAGGAGGGCAAGCAGGAGGATTGCTGTACAACAGGAGGGCATTCAGAGCTGTATAATGAGATCCTGTGTGTGTGTGTGTGTGTGTGTGTGTGTGTGTGTGTGTGTGTGTATGTGTGTGTGTGTGCCACATGGACTGCCTTTGGGGAGATGAGGTCTTACTATATTGCACAGGTTTCTACCACAGAAATATTGAGATCTCAGAGATGTGCCACTGCACTCAGTCTGAGGTTAACAATTTCATTTTGGTGGCATTCATAACATCTCTTTTGTGATGTCCCCAATTAATAATTCTTTACTGTCTGTTTTATAGTACGCTTGTGTTCTGATCGGATCAGCCTTATGAAAGAGTGTATTTCCCAGACTCCCACATGCTACAAGCAATCTGCCAAACTTCTAGGCCTTGCTGAGTTGCTGAGGGTTGCAGGTAAGTCTTTTTTTTTGGGGGGGGGCATCATTTTGAGACCTGGTCTCCCTGGTCTCCCTGGAGCCCCAGGTGGCCTAGAACTTACTATGTAGACTAGGCTGGCCCTGATCTCAGAGAGCTCTGTCTGCCTCTGCCTCCTAAGTGCTGGGATTAAAGGCATGTGCTATGATGCCTGGGTCCAGGTAAGTTTTTTGAATGCTAAACTACTGATTTAAGTTTCTGTGCCATCCTGAACATTGAGCTGTGTGAGCATCAGAATATATGCTTATAAGTGTCAGAGAGCATCTTTTGAGACAGGATAAGTGTTTTCTAGGAAGATTGGCATGTTATGAAAGTATGTATTATATTGAATTCCTGGGAGAATTAGCTGCCCTTGAAATGAAGCTGGCTTACTCAGAATGTGTGGTTGTGAGATCAGGTAGAAGTCAGTGTTACAATTCAAACCAGAAAGGTCCAATATGAAGCTGGCTAGCCTTACCCAGTGCATGGTCATTATCCAGATTTAGTTTGATATTTCTTAAAAAAAATTTAGAACATTTTGTGTACTTTTTGGCAAAGTTTCAAACATTTATTTCATTTTCTCATAAATGGTTGTGGTATTGATCATCTTCCCATCTTAAAAAACAATATCATGCACACAGCAAGAGCTCTGTAAATATGCATTGCACAGATAAGTGAATAAATAGTCAACATATATGTGCTTAACAAAAAAACAATAAAAAAGAAATTCAGGATGATAGAAGTGAAGTGTCTTCTCAGTGCAGTGAAAAATAGACTGACTTTGAAAGGAAAATCTGACCATACATTTCATGTTCCATTAACCATGGTGTCCTTCCTGCCAGACTATTTTACTGCTTGTTTTGTATTTTTTTTTTAATGTAACAAAAAATTTAATATTTTTTTTTGAGACAGGGTCTCCTGATAGCCATAGCTGGCTTGGAACTTGTTATGCAGACCAGGCTGGCCTCAATATCAGAGATCCCCGCCTCTGCTTCCCAAGTGCTAGGATTAAAGGTGTGTGCCCACCAAGCCCGACTTTAATAACATTTAAAAGGTTGTATTTTTTTTATTTTAATCTATTTAATTTTTTTAAATTTATTTTAATTAAAAGAAGCATTTCATTACAACAGCATTAACCTATTCAATAACATT